GAAGGCTTGTACAATCCAATGTACCGGACATTACACTTGGAATTCCATGATTCCATGTCAACCACAGACGTGAATGTGTTCGAATTTCATTCGAGAACAATGGGATGAGCACCTCCCTGCTGTCTATCAACACACGCTTGCAATGAGGTTGATCTGGTGTTACAAGTTCCATCATCCACTTGTTGTGTTCATTGTCCAGCGAGTCATCTAAGAGACGTGAGAGTGAATTAAATGTAAGTTTGGGCTATAGAAGGAAAAGAGGCTCCATCAATCTACGTACTTCTGCTGAAGATGATCTCCTTGAGATCCATTAACTTTATATATGTCTCAACTGCCCATCGGATTGACTGTCTACACTCGCGGCCAATCCTACGTAGCTCGTCTTCGGAATGAGTCACTTCCAAATACCACTTGATTCCATCTTGTAGTCTTTCATCGGTGGCCCAAGCCTCTTCTGGATGAGTCATTCGACCAAAATCCCAGAATTGATCCTTGATGGGTGTGGATTTCACCTGATCAAAATCGGGGCATTCAATAGGAGTTTGATCGGGAAAAGAATTGTTGTACGATGAAGCCTGGCGCTCAAATGTTACATATTTTTTTCTCAGCTCCAATTCCTTTGATTGTAGTAGCTTTAGATGCCTTTGTAGATGTCGAGTTCCTGAATGTGGTTGCTTGAAATGGATCATTATCTTCCAATTACAATTTTTAAATATGATACATACCTGCCCTCTCATTCGCTTGCTTTGCTGCCTCCAAAACACCAACCTTTGCCTCATAAAGCCTCCCCTTCGAAACTCGTAATTGAATCATCGCCCCTCCTTCTTCGTCTGAATCATTCGAAGATAAGTTAGAGAATGATCCAAAAATGATAATGTTTATGTTTTTGTGGCTTACTTGTTGATCCAGGGATATCCCTGAACTCTTTGGCCCCAAGCTTGTCAATCACAGAGTCAAAGTGTCAGGCAGACGCAAGATGCGCCGCTCATCTGCTTGATTTCGATTGTGACGGCACTTTTGTCAAAGGTTCCTCAATTCTAATCTATTGTTGGTGTTGTGGTCAGAAAGATTCATCCAGTGAAAAATGAATTAATAAATCTTACTGCTTACTGTGATTCATGTAAGTTTTCCTCAAGGTCTACGAGGTGAGCTAGCTTATCTGTCAAAGCTTTAATGCTTTTGGTGCAGATTGCTTTAAGCTGACATTCACGTTGTCGGTTCCATTGGTCCTTTATGTAGTTGATAGTGTAGTCAGGATCTTGAAGCAGCCAATTGAGCTTGCTTCGACTTTCCAAGAGTAGTTCCTTCATATCCCTCATTTGCCTGATCATCGAATCGACTAAACAACATAATGATTTCAGCGCTAGTGGTAGGTATCCACTTACAAAGAAACTACAAACCGCCATTCAGTCTCCCTTTTTCATTATAAAAGACTGCTTGAAGGTGTAATGCCCACAGGTGATGGTCCTTTGTTGATATCGTAACACCACAACTAAATCACACAGTTCCGACCATATGCGCTCTACTCCCTCTCCATCTGACATGCCCCAGTCAGGATTCAAGCGAGGACTGTTTTTTATTTGACAAGATTGTATATGTGCGTGAGAGTGCCAGGCCCCGGGTCCAAACATGAATCGGCCTTGTTCCCGTTTGGCAGTAAATGTATCTCTCTGTTGAAGTGTACAGATGGCCTAGATAAGAGTACAATAATAGACTGAATCGTCGAGAAATAAATCAACACTTACTAGCTCCATTCACAGCCCCCATCTACTGGGCTCTGGCAGGCCAGAGCCTACCACTTACTTCATGAAAGATTCATGAAAGCTCCAGAAAGATTTCAATCAAGCTTCAATATGTTTTCAATAACGCTTCAACATAGCTTCAGCTGGACATAAGATCCAGCACAAGTAACATGCATTCATCTGACATTAAGAAACCAGTTATGGGCCCAGTTTGGGTTTTTTTCACCACTCTCAATCTGTCACGAAGGGTCTTTACTTTGTCATGTCAAAATTCTAACTACAGGATCAACCAATACAATAGCTTACATTTAATCACAATGAATACATAAAAGCTGTCATGTCTAGAATATATTACAACTTCAACAACACATTAATCTTACTCCATATCCATTGCATCTTCTTTGTGGCTGTCTTGCACAAATTCCTAAGATTGGAAATAAATGGAATTAGTATACAGGTTAAAATGGAGTCTCTTTGATCACTCACAATATTTGCTAAGCCAACAATTGAAAGTGTTTCCTTGTCAATATCAAAAGTACCGCTGGGGTTCTTCATGACAACTAGCTGTCCAACGATGTCCTCAACTTTGATGACATGATATTCCTCATATGAATCATAAACAACAGTGGCATTCAGTAAGTCTGGTAAGGAAGAGTACGGATTCTTGTGCTGGTCTTGATGACTCATGGACTTTACACTACACCGGATTGTAAAAATACCGTGAGGTTTAGAAAAATATTTTGGCATAGATAAGTGAGTTGAATTTTCTAAACTTCTCGGATTAGAAAATACCATAAGGTGGAGAATAAGACTTTTGTTTGTTTGTTACTGATGCAAATGTCCAATGCATGTACTGGAATTATTGTCAGGGATTGTTACTCACTTTACATTGAACAATTGTTCAAGCTCTTGACTATCTCCATGTCTCAGTGAAGGTTCTGGAAATTTTGGACCTTTTTCAAGATCTTCTCCTCAAGATGTTCCTCAACTAGATAAGCAGAGTTATTGGATCAATCATCTGCTTGTGATATTCCAAGATGATTGCAAAGAAATTTCATCAATCCTGATGTTCTGCTCTGTAGATTGTGAAAGACAGATGCATCATCCACGGGGTGACCAGCACATAACAATGATAGATAAAGACAACACTTGAATTGAACATTGACGACCGGTACAAATTAAAACGGTGTAGATAGATAAAATACACATACTCTACCAGCGGATAGATTAGAATGGATGATATGGAAACCCGGAAAAGACTCGTCCTTTTGAGTGGCCAGCACATCAAAATGAAAGACGCAAGAGTGTAAAACATCAAAAGAACAAAATAAATGGACAGAAACAAGGTCCTTGAGCTCGCCATGAAGATAAGAGAATAAAATCAGAATGAAAAGAAAATAACCCCCCACTAAAGCCCTTCCAAAACCGTGATAAGTTTATCCAAAACGGGTATCGGATCAATATCTAGTTGATTGTATAGCGCAGGTTCTTTGTTTTGTGTATTTTGTAGCCACACCGGGCAGTAGCAGTCAACAGGCAGCCCTGGTGGGGCTGATATATTGCTGCGAGGCGCGTTGGACTGACGAATGCGAGGTCGTGGTGGGCGGCCAGTCTGCTTTCCAGTAGACCCGGGGATACTAGCCTTCCTGCGCTCCATGTATGCATCCAAGAGGATACATGTGTACCTCAATTTTTCGCTACGCCATTCCATGATTCGAACAACACAAGGTAGACCTTTGTGGGTATTTTCTTCAGTTCTTCCTTCTAGGTCAGTCTCGTCATCTCTGCACGCCGTTTCCAAAATTGTTGAAAGCTTCAACAATTGCTCTGGTTTAGAGAAGACGGCTTTCTCTCTCAATTTTTTCAGCTAAGGTTTGAGCCATACAGAACCACAGTTTGTCATTTTCTGTGCCGTTTGAGGATATATGGGTGATAAAATGTCACATCAAAAAGAGACTCACATGATAAAGTCTGGAACCTTGTCGTATTCTGCTTTGTGACTTTTGCAATCGTTCTTGATCCCATGATTGTAGGCGGTATCTGACATGGATAGATCAAAGTTAGTTTGATGATGGAACAATTTGCAGTTTTTACAATCAAAAATCAATGATGGAAGAATATGACTGTACCGCTTAGAGAGTGATTGAGCATATGTGTCTAAACACTTCTTGATAAGGGTGTCATTCTTTCCACCAACGGCAACCCCATTATACTCGCCACATTCAACCAGCTTGTAAAATATCTCCAAGCAAACATTCCAGATCCATTTGTTTTCTTTTGATGATACTGACTTTGAAAAATCGGGACGAAAACTTGAGATATCCGCAGCGTCTAACATTCGCCGCATAATCTGAAGTTGTTGAGGGGTTGCGTCCTTGTGTCCAGGTCCGTTTTCAAATGGAAAACAAGGATCAATCGGTTCCTTCCGAGTATTCGAGGTGGAAGGATCGGGTGGCAAGTCCGTTTTGTCTTTTGGTGGTGCCGGAAGTTCGCATCCATCCTTGAGCCCAATAAGAGTGTCAACATGAAACCGTATGCGATCCTATCGAATTCATATTGAATCTTCAGAACTTTCCAAATATGATTGTTGTTATATAATATGTTAAGCATTGACTTACTGCTGTTCGGCCTCCACATCTTTTGGACGGAGGAGTGCCCTGGTTACCAGTTGTTCCGGCCAACTTGTGTACAATTTTGGTCAAATCTCTGACCTCCTTTTCAAGCGACTCAACCTTTGTGTTAGTTTGCATTAGAAGGATGTAAATAGTGTCTACATCCTGTGGTTTTTTGTAAGAGTTAAATGGACTAGCGTTGAACCTGTGTGGTTCAGCAGAATACAGTTGTTTAATGTTAGTTATCTTGAAACGTTCATTGTCTTCCAAGAGTCAATTCTGAAAAACTTTACTTTTCATGATGGGTCTCTGGTGCGGGTTGTTGAGCAGATGAAAAGCCTTGTTCCGCAGTGGTTGCAGAAGGAGAAGGAAGGCTGGAATCTATCTCGCCAATATTGAGGTCGGTGTGCGACTCATCCATCTCATCATCTTCGGGATGCCAATCAGATGTTGATGAAGTTTCGATTGTAGCTTTTGCTTTTCCCTTACCCTTTTTCGGAGCTGAGCTAGATGTAGATTGAAGTATAGTGGGGTGCGGTCGAGGATACAAAAGCCGTTTGTGCTCCAGGCTTGGTAGGAATGTCGTCGAAGAGCCAGCTTCGGGTGTGATAGTGGTTGGTGTTTCTATTGAGGTAGAATGAGCTACGGCTCAAGAAAAAAAGCATAAGTTGATAATCTGGCACACAGACTGAGATTGAGGGTTGGGACTTACCCGCTTGGCTAACATGAGGGGTGCAGAGGTCAATCGGAGTGTTGAACTGATAACCTACCAATTCCGAATGTATTGGATGTTGACCAAATTGCTTCTGTGAGTCTGAAGGGAGATCAACTGCATGATGGATGATTTGTCAGTGAAACCAAGACGCTAAACTTGGAGTTGAAATTTTCATTACTTAGTTCGGTGTACGCGTTGCAGTTTTGTAGAAGTGCCTTCCTGTCAAAGCCACTTGTATCGAGTCCGACAATCTTGAGCATGTCATTCAGCTGAACGTCACTGAACTGCTCGTAGTTGATGTTTGATGATGGTTGGATGATTGGATGTGCGACTTCATGTTGATTCGAAGGTGTCTCTTGGATGGCGGCTTTGCTCGTGGACTGGATCGATGGTCTCGAAGTTCGGGGCTTCCTCTTCTTGACATGCTTCTCGTCAAGAATGTCAAGAAGCCTTTCACGGGTTGTTTTGCCTCTAGCGCCAATCTGCTTCACTGCACGCTTCTTAGAAGCTGTATAATCATATGTATGAAAAGGTCAACAATGGTTGATCAAAGTAGAAAAAGTCAATTGTAAGTTACCAGTTTCATTGGAATCGGAATCCGTTTCATTCTTCCGCTTGACTGGCTTATTTTGGGAATCTCCTGGATTTTGCTCCGCAAGGAATCTTAGGCCATCGCGACGTTGAATCCGGAGAGCCCGGCTGCTAACAGAAGTGGGGGGAGGTTGTGATGGCATTTCTTAAGCTGAATATGAATGAAAGATTGGGAATTAAGGAGATTTATAAATGATCTTTTCGAAATAAAACATATGAGATAATTCTGAGGTAGACAGAAAGTGGTGTGCTTTGAGAGCAAATCAAGACGTAGATCTCATCACAACGTAGGATTTTAAGGAGTGTATCAGGTAGTTTTTGATGCTGTTATTCAATTCCATGACCTTTGATTGTATCGATGATACGAACAATATCTTGAGCCTTTGATCTCACCACAGTGACCTCTGAAAGGCGAGCTGGCGTGAGTTACTTAAATTTGAATGTGGTGCACTATATCTGGTGTTTGTATGTTGTCAATTTGTCACCGTTTGGGCAGCAACACCACCGTTACGTAGCAAGTATAAGTGTCATTTGTTGATCAACAACCTGAATATTGGTCATGATTCAAATGACTCACATTAATGGTAATGTCAGGTAACATGGTTACCAGTTGTACAACTAATTAGTCTACTAATTTAATTAATTACCTTTCCGCAAATAATGCCATCCTTTCAAAGTTACATTCTATTTGAAAGGGGGTGTACTTGCACTTTTCCAAGTGGAGTGATCAGGTCAGCCACGAGTCAAGGAAGGCAGAATCAAATTATGTCTTGTAAACAGAGTTTGCCGGAAGGTGAACCATTGGTTGAGATTTGGCAAGCTCGATGACTTTCATATGAAGAGTTCATCATGATGGCTCGAAATGATGTTAGGATGGCACAAAAGACTCGAAATTTCAGGAATTGATAAGATATTGGTCTATCTACATGTGAGGTTGAGAAACAAAAAACCAGGTGTGAGAATGAAATACGGGATAATTATACAAGCAAGACTGTGTAGCTCTCGAGAGGTTTAAATCATGATTTTTTAGTCTGATTGTGATTGTGACAGTAAAATGTTGAACTTCTGATTGTGGAGATAACAAGATGGAACTAATTATATAGTGATTATGTCAATCAGATAAGCTGTCATTGTTACATGAAAAGACATTAGGGGGATCTTGTTCATCACTAGAATCATAAGAGTAGTGAGGCTCCAGATCATCATTTCCAGGTCCTAATAATTGTCTGAGAACCCTTGCGTGCGCATTAATTTTTGTGTGAGCTCCATCTAAGTCGGCTTGTTGATCAATAACATCAACATCTATATCCCGGACTTTAGACTTAAGTATTGTAATCTCCTTCATGGCTTGTTCTAATTTAGATGAAAGAAGCGCAATTTCGCCAGCTGAAAAAACAATGCGAGTAAGCCTAAAAGAGTCGATTTGGAAAGTAATCAAATTGATATGGATATATCATACCTTTTGCTTGTTCTTTTTGGAGATTTTGGAACATATTTGTATTGCTCTTTTTCTCCATGACCTCGAGTGCACTTTCAACACGAGCTAATCGTTCCTCCAAGGTTCGAACTAAACTCGGAAGTTTGATCAGGACTGATAACTAAGAGAGACGGATCAATAATTTGCCAATAATTACCTTTTTCTTCCTGTTGTTGCTCCTCTTGGAAGATATCAACACCAGTTTTCTTGGTCGAGGGAGAATCCTGAATGTTGATAGCTGGGATATCTCGACCAATAACTGAGAATGTTATGTGAAACAATCAGCATCTTAAAAAACAAGAATGAAATGATTGTACATACCTGGGTTGCCTGTATCAAGTAACTCTGTGTCGGAAAACTGGATGAGGTCTACATCATCGGAGGCATCGATACATTTTTTCTTGTCCATGACAGGTTTTTGTGGGGATTCTGATTGACCCAAAATCAAACAAGCTCTGGTAGTGTCAGTATTGATAGATAGGTTTGCCAATTTTTTTTGTTCTTGATGGACTGAAGCAATGCTTGGTGAAATCGAATTTGGTGAAGTCGGGTCTTGTGAAGAACTCTTTGAATTGATAAGGGGTGCAAATGCGATACCTTTGAGCGCCTCGAGGTCGTTCTTTTCGTCATTGTTGCAAATTGCGCTGGAGATTGAGGACATAACGTTTGGTGAAGCAACAGACATAGTATGAACCCAGCTGGGGGTAGGCGGTTGGGAAGGTTTACTAGATGCCTTGCGCGGTTTACTAGAGCCAGTATTTGATGCCTTTGGCCGACTTAAACTCTGGTCACAGAATATCTGGTTCAATCACATGGCGTTCAAAGCTGAATGACAAATATAGATCTGAAAACTCACTTTTCTGTTCTTGGAGTTCTTAGATCCACCACGTACCGGCGCGATGGGGTCTACTTCCACCTCTATTTTAATTGGAGAACAAAGATAAAAATCAGTACATATATATAAACTATTGAATAACCCAAACAGTCATATGATTTACCAAGTCCAACTCGCTTATGTGGATAAGATCGCTCCAATTCTTGTGACGCCGAACGTTTACCCAATTGCTCACTTTTCTTAAAAGACTCGACCGTGACAGATGAGCTAACAGAAAGGTCTTCAATAGCAGGATAGTGATCAAGAGGGCCAGGTATCACAGCTGGTGCATCTGAGGTTGGATCTTCGAAATCTGGAAATAAAACAATGATTGTGCAAAGTCAGATTCACAAAATGTAAGGTGGAAGCGGAATAAGTTGAAATTTACATTCAGGTTGTTGCTCTCGAACTATCTTAGCAACCTCTCCCTTGTTAGCATTTGATTTGATGGGTGTCATTGGGTGATGGATACGTAACCAGTCAAGCATGGTTTGTTTGCTAATAGAAGGGTTGCTGGGGTCAAGAAGGGTATGTGAAGGACCTCGACTAGTGGACTCTGACATGGTGTATGTCAATGTTGTTGTTGGAAACAAGAGTTGAGTGAAGAGGATGAAAAGAAAATCAAGATACGGATTGTTATCTAGAAACAATCAAAAGTCCCTTGGAGATCTACTATGAGAGAAATGAGGTGAAACTGGGAACCTGTATATGTATCAAGTTCTGGAATGAAGGGTGATTCTCTCGTAAGTCGAGATGAAAGTGACTCACCCTCTGTTGTTCACACGCGCAATCCCGATGGTTTGTTCATGAGTTTTTTTGAACCTCTGAGGACCCCACGCCACAGATGTGGAACCTTTGTTCAACTGCTTGGTCTTGGAAGATCGGGTCAGTGTTTCTTTTGTATCTCTTGAATTCTGAACATACCCTTTTTGGTAATTACAAGACAAACGTAATTAATCATGACGTTTGTAGCAACCACATTACCTCCATCCATACTCACGAATATCCATGATACGGTTGTTCAATATCTGACTCGGCTCCAAGGTTCTTTGTTTTAATCAAGGGCAAGCAAGTGATGTTGATCACTTGTGGAACATGAATATCATGTTACGTCAGGCAAACAAAGCAGACAAATATGGCGACATACCAACAAACAGATTGAATTATGCATCTCGTAGTTATAGGCCTCTCTCCTTTCTCATCTGACTGATAGACAAAGAATCACGCTTGTCACGTATTCAGCGAAAGAGATTTATAGCAGTTGTGGTATATCTTTTTCAAAGGAGTCTTTTGTCCTCCGATTCCAATCATACTTCATGCTTTTCTATCATCAAGCTTTTCCACACCATAGTCAACTTTTTCTTTTTGTTTGAATCACCCTTTTCATTTCAAATATTCATCGGGGCCTTTATAATCACAGAGTCCTCCTATCATCGTTTGTTTCATCAGGTATGCATAACAATAAACTATTGGAGGTTTTTTCAGCTACCCCTGACACTTACATGATTCATTTCTTTCTCTATACTCGTAGAGTCCTATCATGCCACCCAAAGCAGAAAGGAAACGCACCCCCGGTCCTCACAATGGCTCCCCTCTCAGTCCGCCAGCGGGCGAAGGATCTGGAGCTCCCAACCCTCAGCTTGGTCAGGCAACTTCTCCGCTCACATCGACACTTCGTTTCAAGCGACAATCAGCAGCCGAGTACGCTGTAGCAAGCAAGGTGCAAACTTTTACAACAGCCCAGCGCCTCTTTCTTGCACACGACTTTGAATCTGTCAGTAAAAAGCCAACAAAATTAGATTATTACAACATTATCTACCTTTTTAATCCGGGAACCAAAAGTCGCCCCGGTCAAGCCAAGGATGTACTCAAACAAGCTTTCTTGGATGAAGTGCGACCTCTACTTCTACCGTATATCGTGGCGCCTCCTCCTGTCGCTATGGAGACAGATTCTACTGAGCCCGATTTTGACCCTCTTGACCGCAAGACCACTCGAGGAATGCTCTCAAAACCAATCTCTATCAAGGCCCCTCAATTCAACTTACCAACCTCTGCAACAATCAATGATACCTTGATTGCATATAAGTATTACGTTGACCCTCAACTTCCCCTTAAGCCCAATGATCGATTTGTCAAAAGACCTCGAACTGTCCCTGTCAATCGCCTCAAAGGAGAAACTATCGAAGACATCCTCCTAGCGTTGCGCTACTTGGCACCAAATGTATTTGTACGATCTTTGGCCATGAACAAGCCGTGCCTTGTTGATATCTATATCAAGTTTGTCCATGGTGAGGAACCGAGTACTCCCCTCATACCTGGATTTCATTACACCATCTTGGAGCTCTCGGCTGTTGATTTCGAAAAAAAGTGACATCTTCATGGAGAAGTATGTATGGTAGATCGATTTTATATTTGTATGCATAGTATTTTCAAGAAGAACTGATTAAGACTATTCATCTTTGTGATTTTTATTTCAGAACAAAAAACAAGTTATGTCAATGTGATCTGCCACGCTACCTCGGTCTTCCAATTGAGTGGCTTGGGAGTTTGTCAGGGGTTTTAATTTAATTCAATGTTTCACTTACATCTTGGACTAAACCCACTTGTATCTCTCTATCTCCGTTTTCTTTAAAAGATTCGTTTCAAGTAACATTCCTCTTCAGTCATCGGCGAATTGCCAGATGCCGTCCGGATTGTCATTGACCTTTTCCGACTCAATAAACGTGCTCTCACAGTGTATTCTTTCCGTATCTTGTGTTTCTACTTCCCTCTCAAGTATTTGAGCAACTTAACAATACTTATAAGACTTTCCTCATACTGTAAGATCAGCTGTGAAATCGATTTTCTTCATTCTTACTTTCAATCTTGCCAATAAATGCCTCAGCGTCAAACGCCAACCAACCAATCGCATCGAGTAGTCTGCCTATGTACATCTTACGAATGTGGCGATCAAGAATACGCGGACGCCAACGGAGTCTACCACCCAGGTGTTGAAGTCCTACCTGAGACACGGGATGCTCACCAACGTGCCGACTTCCGAAACGATTATGTCAAATCTCCTGACAATACCACCTCTTACTCACGTCAAGCATCGATTGATTCAGCACAAGAGGACCTTCTTTCGCCATTGAGACTATTACATATTGCCTCGGCCCCTTCACCAAGTCCTGATAGTCACCAGTTGGATGATCAAAATCAAACAACCGAAGATGTGTCCACGCTGGCCCTCCCGGTTGAGTCATCAACAGATGATGTTACCAACCATTCTCCTCAGCGATCCGAATCTAATCCAGCTAAAACTTGCTCCCAGGCTGTCTTGGCAAAATCTTCAGGTCACAAGGTTTTTGATTGCGGTAAGCTGCAATCTTGCTTGTTTCTCTTGAGTTATTCATAAATGAATAACAAGTATATTTATTATTGTATCGCACTTCATGTTCTCTCGCAGATCACTACCATACGTTTGAGTTGAAGTCGATGAACCCTCTGATTCTCCATGTAGCTCTTACCGCTGCAATCCTTGACATCTTTGGCCGGTCTTCCAATTCAATAACCTCTTGGATTCTAGATATAAACCATTACTATTGAACTTTCCACGAGCTATGGAATAATCAAAACTCAAACTCCAAGCCATCCTCTTTTACCTGAAGAAGTCAAAACTCTGAAGCAGATTCCAAGCTCAGCCGCCACAACCTTCAGATGGTTAAAGCTAGATCCAGTACTATCATATATGAATTGCTGCAATGCGTGCTTTGCAATGTACCCAGAAGCCCTTGCACCGTCTCGATGCCATCATCGAATTGCTAATATCCCCGGAGGTCCTACTGATTCTATTAATTCAGATGTCAACAACGCTTCTACTTCAGAAGACTCTGAGCCGGACTTTTCAGAGAAGATATGCGGTGAACCCCTATTCAAGTATGTGCGAGGTCAAGAAAAGCCATTTCGACGTTATGCATTTCAGAGTCTCTCGGATTGGATATCACAATTACTATCCCGCCCTCAGATTGAGAATTTACTGGAACTTTCAGCATCCGAGTCTTCAAATCCTTATGATCCCCATGCCGAAATATATGATATATATCAGTCTCGAGTCTGGAAAGAGTTCTGCGGTCCGGACGGAAAGCAATTCACTGCTAACAGTAGCCATTTGAGTTTTGGACTTTTTGTCGATGCAATCAACCCGTTCGGCAACAAGCAGAGCGGGCATCATACCTCCATTACATTTGTTATTCTGGTTTGTCTTAGTCTTCCGCCTGACCTCCGACATCAGCCCGAGAATGTTTTTGTGGTGGGGATTGCTCCTGGCCCTCGCGAACCATCGCTCGAACAAATGAACTGGATTTTGAGACCACTAGTAACAGAACTGCAATCTTTATGGTCACATGGCTTACTCCTGTCACGGACTCACGAATACAAGACCGGCCGACTTATAAGAGCAGCACTCTTAGTATTTGTTGCAGATATACCCTCTCTTCGTCGATGTCTTGGTTTCCCAAGCGCTACTGCCATGTACTTCTGCTCTTTTTGCTTACTAACTAAAAGAGAGATTAATAACTTTGATGAAGGCACATGGCCACCTCGTACGTGGTGTCAGCATCAAAAATGGGCTTGTGAAGCTCGAGATGCCAAGACTGTCAAAGAAAGAAAGAAGATATTCAAGACTCACGGTGTACGCTACTCCGTCCTGATCGAATTAGATTATTGGAACATTATTGATTATCATGTCGTAGATTCTATGCACAATTTACTTCTTGGATTGTCTTCTTGGCATGTTAGACGTTTCTGGTCAATGAAAGATCTTCAAAATGACGAAGAAAAATTGCCGGCAATCAGCACTACTGAACTTCTGAGGCTTGTTGCTGAACATTCCGACCCATCACCTTGTCATAAACTAGATGAAGTCGAACCTGAAAGGGACCCAGAAGAAAATGATAACACCCTGAACGATACTGAATTTTCAAACAACACGTCTTCGAGTGATCAAGATTTCAACCCTTTCGATGATCCTGGGTGGAAAGGAGAATGGCATGCTCCACCACTGGAAGAAATCATTTTCGATGCGGAAGTACTTCGTCACATAAACTCCATACTTCCAAAAATCTACACCCCTACGTGGATCAAACGTCCGATCCCGGTTTTAGGAAAAGCCTCATTTGGGAAACTGAAGGCAGACGAGTGGAGAAGCTTGATTACTTTGCAGCTTCCACTTGTTTTGATACCAATGTGGTCCGGCCAGGATCATATCAAGAAATCACTTTTGAACAACTTCATCCATTTAGTTTCGCTTGTAAATTTAGCACTCAAACGCGTTATGATCCAATTGAACATCAGCCGTTATCGCTATCACATAAAAAACTATCTCGAAAGCTCGGTATTACTGTTTCAGCACTGCAAACTCGCACCTAACCATCACATGGCTGTCCATCTGGCTGACTGTCTCGAAAGATTTGGACCAGTACGCGCATGGTGGTCCTTCCCGTTTGAGCGATTGATGGGGAAGATACTTAAAGCAGAACATAATAATCATATTGGTAAGTGAGCATCCTATCAAATGAGCTCCTCTTGGAATTAGGATTTGCTAATTAATCAATCCATCCCCTCCCTTCAGGCGAGATTGAAATTACATTCATCAAAAAATTCTCACGCGCGTCCAATCTATCAGCATTAATAGAAGATGAAAAGCTACCCAATGCCTTAAACAACTATACCTCACGGCTTAAAGCCTTGTACAAGCCACCGGCACGGCGGGAACGACGACAGTCAAATTCCAAACTCTCTCCCCTTACAAACGAAGTCCTTGATTTACTTGTTCATTACTTGAATGAACACCATCAAGAAAGATGTGTCTGGATTCGCCCAGATGAATGGGCTGCACTTAGTAAAAGAGATTCCTTAGGATACTCTCCTGTACCATCTCGTGGGCAGTTCTATAAGTGCTTTGAACATACTGATGGATTGATCTCCACCTTTACACAAAATCCTCACAACTGTTGCATTTACTTCAAAGATGCCAAGGGTTCTGACTGTTTTGGTCGAATTTTCTCGATTTTTTCCCATTCTAGAGCTTCAGCAACATCTCAGATGACTACCGATGTGTGGATTAATGTACAGTGCTTCCCCCCTCTGCCATCAAAACACTTCAATCCTTTTGAGTCAACTGATAAAGCTGATGTAATGTGTGCCTTGAGGTCGTGGAGCCCTACTGAAAACAAAATCATCAAGATCAGCGAGGTGATAGCCCAATGCACCTGGATCATGTATAAATCAGGGGAGATGAGCAAGCTTGTGAAGATACCTACAATTGGACTGATTATTCAAAAACGCTGATCAGATGTACAATGTATAATTACATAATTATCAAATGAAGATTTTGTCTTTTCTTTCTAATTGAAGAGTATTGAAGGATTTGGCTCCGGCTGTTGCTATGAAGATGCAGTTTACTTGAACCCCAATCTGTCTGCAGGTACATGCTACAATATAACTTAGATAGATGAGGTGTATTTTTTTCCGAAAATTTTACAACTTTCTTGTTTTTAATTTTGTGTTCCATTTGAGCTTTGGGGTGGTTTTTGAGGCACATGAGGGTACCAAGAGGTCAAAATGAAACTTTTGTCTGGAAAATCCTATGTAGTACACTCAAGAAAGTTGCCAGAATCTCAATTTACTGGTCTTTGTATCTCCTACAATGTTTCTTAGCCAAACTTCCTTGCAGAGACACCTATCCAGACATCAATATTGCATTCAATTTGTTGTAACTAGCCACGGTCACTGGACTCTTGGTGAGTCCACTATCTTATAACATTTAAACAAGAACTCCAAACACTGACAGGGAAGCACAGATGAGATTGTTCAGTCGAATTCTATAGAAAAGTCCTATATACTTTTCTATACCAAAATATTTTTCTAAACCTCACGGTATTTTTACAATCTGGTGTAGTGTTAGTGAATGCACAACAAGCAGTGGTGCGGCCAGGTTGTTGAGCCGGACTATATCCGTGATACATCCTGTCCATCTTTGAGAGTTGAGAGCATATGTGATGTAGCTATTCCCAGGTGTTGTCTTGTGAGTACTGTGCGCCTTGTTGAAGATCTTGATGGATGAAGTAACATCAAATTTTGAGTTGAAGGTGTGACTACCCTCAAGATGATTGAAACGCTGGAGTGCCTGAAAGCCTGCAGGACTGAGCTTCTTGACAGTCCACCTTGACTGGCGGTTCCGTTGAAGGTAATCTCTGAGGATTGGATCCGCCTCCATGGCAGAGTGACTATTGTTAATTGTTGCTCTGAAGAATCCCCGTCTTGTGTGTTGGTGAAGTAATGTCTCACCCTGTCCTTCTGAAGTGTCAAAGATTGGAATCAGCGGATTTTAAGTGATCAACAGAGGGACAAAAAATACTGACGGATATTTCCGTTCTTAGCTGTCTGAACCAGGCTCCCAATTATCCGCTCACCTGACCAGCTAGCAGTATAAGCTGGTGGCCCAAGCCTTGCAGAGATTTCCCCAATATGTTCTGCAAAATGCAAGTTGGGTTTTTTCTTGATATGTGGCCAGCCATCTCCAGGGTGGTTTGATAGCCATGAACCAAGTTACCAATCTTTTCCCCGTCGTCTCGTTGAAAACTACGCAAAGTACATATGTTGCCAATTTGAATGAGTTGGAGCAGGCTGGCAAGGATCCTAGCTGAAGTGGTGCCAGCTTCGCCACTAAGAAAATGAGGGACCCAAGCAAGTACAATGTAGACTTTGTATAAAGAATGCCATTCTGCTGCTTTGGGAGTCCCAGCACTTGCCATCCCAAAGGTACCCTGGGGTTTTGTGAGCCATGAGGGAGCCTGGGCGTTTTTGATGCATCGCTGGAGCAGATCCAGCTCATAAGATGTGATTTCTGGAACAATCACAGGTATCGGTAGGGGTGGAGGTGGTGATGGTGATGGGTTCCGCCTTGCTTTATCTTTTCCCTTGATTGTACCATCCGATCCTGCAGAGGAAGACCCTTGGTCATGGAGATTGGATGCTGCTGATCGTGTTCCGTAGGAATGGTGTGATGCTGGTTTGGGCAGAGGAGCTGGAACTGATGGTCCTGGTGGATCAGGAGTTGCAGTACTGGCTGTTGGTGGCTTAGGTAGCTGAACATTGTACATTCTTTTTTTGAATTCCATTTTGTCCTTTTCAGCTTCAAGAGCCTTGCCTGCCGCTGGCACTTTTAGATAATTTGTGGAAAAGTCTTTGAAGAGGCCAAGGAAGACGTTGTGCATGATATCAACAGTGAAGAATTCAACCGACTTCCAATAAGGCAGCTCATGGAGGACAGTATATCGTACTCCATTGCTGCTGGCAAGTTCATTTTGATCATAGGCAGTGGGGGCTTGTTCCCATGCTTGTGCTTGAAGTTTTACTTCCGTTGAGGTTCGGTGAGGACATTTCAGTGCTGGAAACTGAGAGCGATATATTCTGTCGGTAATTTGACAGAGTGAACAAAAGTGTCTGGAAGAGTGTGCGGTGAAGGCGGTGACCTTTTTCATTGCTGGGACATCCCCATGGATGGGCCAGATGGCTGCATGAATGGTTCGGCCGACTACAGGATGTTTTGAGGTTGAACTGAAGTTGATGCCTTGCCAAAACTCTTTCATCTCTTCAACCAGAGGCCTGAGAAAGTGATTCATTTCTGTGGTGGATGGTTCTGAGGGACCTGGCATGATTCCGTAAAGGCAGATGTTCTCCCTCTTGTAACAAATTGAAGGAAGCAAGTTGAAACAAGTTAGAAGCATGACACCAACAGAAGTCTTGACTCTAGCTTCTTTGCCGTTTGGATTGAACCAGTCGCACCACAGTCCAAAAACAAGGTTGCCCGAGTGAGCAGTGAATACAGAGCCCGACTTTTGGAAGGTTGTCCATAAGCTGCCATCCCATATGTCATCCATTTGTTGATTGGCGGGCCTTGTGCGGTTGAGAGAGGCATCCAAGGCAGTTTCAAAAGCGGAAAACTTGAGCATCTTGCCAAGCCATGAATGTACAGACTGATAAAAAAATAGTCTAGATGGTTTTTGAACTTGTTTACCAGAGGGTGTTTCATAAAGTGGTTGATCACAAGATTTTCGTTTTTCTTTAGATGTCTTCGAGGTGAATCGAGGATGATTGCACAGTTGATTCATATTGATTTGGTCTATTGGTAGTACAGGATGTAGAGCACAGCAGAATGGACAACAGATTTTGCTCTGTATGGTGGTATTGAGGTCGAATGTCTTCAAAAGTGTTGGAATGGTGTGAGGAATCTGGGTCCAAGGTGTGGTCTTGAGGTTGGGATCCAACCATTTGAGCTGCTCTTCTACACTATCACAAGCTGTTCAAAGGCTTTGTCGGCAGGCGTCTACACTGAGCCGGTTGAAGAGATGGTCTTTTGCAACCTTGAACATTTCTCGTAAACACATGGGATGCTGTAAAAAGGTTTTCGGGAGTGAAGGTGTGCTACGTGTATATGTGAGCTGTGTTCGTGAGACTTTTGGTTCTGGAGGTTCTGTGTTGATCAAATCTGAGTCGTCGCTATCTCTATCATTGTCTGATTCTTCTCTAGCTCTTTTGTTGGGGCGGGCCGCAGGAACTGCAGAACCAATGGGCGGTAGTATTTCTGTACTTGTAGAGGCATGAGTTGAAGCCAAGTTGGGAACCTATTATCGAGTCTAGGTTCAGTTGACCAGAAAAAATGTAGGAGACTCATTGTACTCACAAATGATAAATGAGGAGCGGGAAAGTCTGATGAAGTACTGGGTGTGGGTTGAACAACGGCAGGAGCTGGGTTGGTTGCTGCATCACCGCCTTCAGGCGGCACAATAGGTGCCTGTTGGAAATGTCTTGGATAAGATTGGCGGCTGAATATTTTGCCTTGATGGACACTTCCACTGTATTGGATGGTCCTTTGACTGCATCCCAATTCTGGACAACTGCAAAGGACCTGATTGTGGTCCAATGCAATGGCATGTGGTCCTAAAGTGATGCCCATTGATGATGGTTTGGATGGGGAGGATATTTGATTGTTGACTGTGACTTTGGCTGGCAGGATGAAGTTTTCAGGGTAGGGAAAAACATGAGGACTTCACAAGTGCAGGTCATGACAATACTAACATTGTGTAGCTTACATGCTGTGAGGAGTGATATGTATGTATGTGGGTTAGGTTAACACAGCCATGGGCTAGGGTTGTGGCCTTGACCCTTGCCCACATTCTCATGGTTTAAGGGGCCAAGAGATGTAACCTGGCCTTGCTCTTCTTAGACACGACCAAAAGTATGTGGCAAAAAAAAGTAGGGCTGTGATCCGGACCCGGCCCGGCCCGGCCAACTCTGCTCAACGACTTACACAAAGCTGACGGTACACACCCCGGGGCGTTCATGTGTGACTTAATAACAGCTGAATACCGCCCCTTGGGCACTTCAGGCAACTCAGGCACCCGACCCGGCCGCGGTGCCGACCCTTTTTTTGCCAAAAAAAAAGCAAAAAATGCCTTCACACTACTCTCCTACCGGCCCTGGTTGGCCCTGAGCAGTTCTCAGAGGCCATTGGGGTAACTGAGGGCTTGATTTGGCCCCAGGGCCAGACCTGAACTCACAGGGTTGGGTCACAGCCCTAGCAAAATGTCTGTATGCCTACATACTTGCTTTGAGTCCCCTAAATGAATAATTTTTGCATGAGCATGGAAACCAACTGACACACAACTCACCTGTGAGCTGATCATCACCCACCGCCCCTGCCATGCGTCAGGGCTCAACTTTTGGGACTCTGATTCCAACTATTCATTACAATGGCATAAGTTTTTTTTCAGACATAACAAGTAATGTATATTACATTCGAAATCATGTATCCCAATTCAATCCTAGGTTTTGCCTGTGTGCTTTGAAAAAGTTTTCTCACCTGGGCAATATATATGGCACATGCTAAATCATGCTTTACAATGCCATGTAGTTTTTGTTCTGGTACTGTGAGTGCCACTAAATTATTGACTATCATGTCATAAGGTTTCTTTTGTAGTACTACAAACCAGGCTATGTCACATTTCATAGCCTGATTTGTAGTATCACAGAAAAAAGCTTATGACATCAGAATGAATGATTTATTTACACTCACATTGAACAGAGGCAAGAGTCCTGACTACATGAGACATCATAATTCAATCAAGGTACATTAGGCATAGATTTTAAAGGTATCAAGCTTTAACTCCAATATTCAAAGAGTTATACATAGAGTGAGACTGTCATTCAAGAAAGATACAATTTGGTTGACCTGAAATTCCAAGAAAGATACATCAAAAAATTACACAATCATTCAGTGACTTCAGGAACTTTGGCAGCTGGTATATCAGGTAGTTCAAACAGCGGAGCTTTATAAGAGTCACCACCTGGAAAGAGAGACCTGTTGGTGCAGAAGGCAAAAAAGTCCAACTCCATTGCCTTGCCTAGGTTCATCTTGGAAAAGTCAGTATGGTCCCATGAGTCATCATAAATACCAGAATCAAGATCCCTCCGAGCCTTTTCAAAACCTTGAGGGAAAAGCGCTTCTTCAATAGTATCTAAAATATACTTCTGGGTATACTTCCAGATGGGCTCTTCAATCTTTTTTCCTCCTTGAAGTTTGTCAACCAGGACTATGAAGTGTGTAAGCTTCACCACACCATATCTGTTGGTGTCAGTGGGGTAAGTCATGAGTCCCTTGACCCCACCAACAATAAAAGCGGTCAGCGCCCCGATGACTGGGTTTGGAATGGTGCCAGCACCAAGTTTTTTAGTCAGGCGCTCATACTCGGCATCGAGATGATCATGGGTGCCAGCAGGAGCTGTTGAAACAACTTGCATCGTGTGGAAGAATTTAGCCCGCACGCTTAAAATCGCCTCCAAGATAGAGTAAAGTCGGTTCACCATATGTGACATGGTGATGACACAGTCAGAGATGTTCAGGATACGTTTGGGGTCTTCCTGTAGCTTTTGGAAGTGGAGGGCCGCGAGAAGACTTGAACGAACAGCTTGATTTGGAATGTCGGCTTCAGAAAAGTCCTGCGGTAGTGTAAGCTCAGGAGTATCCATTGAAGCATAAGTTACTGCAGCAACAATGGTTCTTACACCCTGAGCCAACCTTTTTGAACCGATGTTGTAGAAAACGGCGAGGATATTGCGTGTGAAGGTTGTATGACGTTTATCATCAGGAGTGGAGGGGAGGGAATTGCCGGTTATCGTAAGATCAAAGATATCCGGCCGGTGCCATGGTGCCTCACCGTCACTTTGAACGAGTGAAATGTCTGAACAGAGGAAAGAGGAGTCGTCAGTAAAGCACAATGATGTGAACAGACAAAATTCACTTACTGGGCTTCCTTGCAATCCAGTCTCGCACGGCAAGGCTGGGCTTAGGCCCAAAAGACTCACCCACTTCCATGGAAGCCCCACCCTCTGGGAAGCTCTCTCCTTCCCGGCGTTGAAGGAGAAGGTTCAGTATCAATTCATAAATCTGCGGCACGTCCGCGCTGACTACTTGGTTCCGGCGAACTGAAGCCGAGGTGACTTCAAATAGAGAGGGCTCAGCCAACTTCCAGAGGCCAGAGGGAGGAGACGGTGTGGGGATTTGGCGGACATCCGCGTTGACCGGAATAGGAACACCTCCAGGTGGAATCGGTGCAATCGGTGGTTGCTTTGAGGAGCTTGCCGAAGTATTATTCAAGTTTGAAGTCACAGCACCATTGGAGGAGGGGAGATCCGTAGAACTATCAGGAGGATTGGATTGAGGGATGGCCGGAGGTCCTGTTGTGCCAGACTCGTGTGCAGACGCCACGTGTGGAGAATCTTCAACAAAGGGCTGGGATTTAGGTAGAGCGCGTTGCTTCTTCTTGCGCACAGGTGGGCTGTTGGTAGCAAGATCTTCCCTCGGGCCTAAAGCTTCTAGTTGAGGAGGGAGGTTGATAGGGGCCAAAGAAGGATCAATGACCACTTTTGTCAGTGCAGTGCTTGACAAGGTTGTGGCGGATGGCTGATCCTTGGGTGATGACAGGCCTTCAACAGGTAAAGTTGCGTCCGGACTGGCAGGCCTAGGAGTTGGAGCTCGAGAGGAAACTTGAGGTGCAGCCGCTGGAGGAGTTGGCACTCGAGAGGACACTTGAGGTGCAGTCGCGGAAGGAGTCAGAGGCCTAGGAGTTGGATCTCGAGAGGGAACCTGAGGTGCAGCCGGTGGAAGAGTCAAAGGCCCAGGAGTTGGACATCGAGAACCAGCTACAGATAGAGGCGCTGGAGGGGTTGGAACTCGAGAGGACACTGGAGGAGTTGGCACTCGAGAGGGAACTTGAGGTGCAGTTGCTGAAGGAGTCAGAGGCCTAGGAGTTGGAGCTCAAGAGGGAACTTGAGGTGTAGCCGCCGGAGGAGTGGGCGCTCGAGAGGGCACTTGAGGTGCAGACGCTGGAAGAGCCGAAGGCCTAGGAGTTGGACATCGAGAACCAGCTTGAGATAGAGGCGCTGGGGGAATCTCGGGCTGAGAATCTGGTTCTCGAGACGAGACTGGAGGGATAGGCTCTGAGGGACTGGCCGGCCTAGGAGTTGGAGGTCAAGATGGAAAAACAGGCGTAGGTGCGCGTATAAAAGGTTGGGATTCTTGTAGACAAGCACCATCCATAACCTTCAAGACTGCATGTAACTTGGATTCAACACCTTTGTCACATTGAGCGTCCCATCCTGGGGAGGCTTGAGAGCGTACAAGCCAGTGGCAAATAAGGCCATCGACGCCATAGCGACCGCGTCGTAGTGTCTGCACAAGGACCTCTACGCCAATCCTCGCGTCCAAATACACCTCCAATTGTGGCCATACATTACCTGGCGCAGGAGCTGAAAAAGCGGGCCTGAAGAATCCATGAAAGACGCTGTCCGGTTCACCAGATGGTATACTTGAGTCGTGCAAAGCAAGGGTTTCAATTGCTGAGACGACGAGTTCCAAAGTGAGCGGGAATGGGGTGGGGCCGCGAGGAACCGACTGTGTCACGGAAGTACTTGCCGTCGAAGTCGCAGGCTCGGAAGGATTTGACGCCGAAGTCGCAGGCTCGGAAGGATTTGACGCCGAAGTCGCAGGCTCGGAAGGATTTGACGCCGAAGTCGCAGGCTCGGAAGGATTTGACGGCAAAGTTGCAGGCACGGAAGGATTGGCGGGAAGCACGGACGTTGATGTCGAAGTCGAGGTCACAAAGGGACTCGGGGTCGGATTCGAGATAGGGACAGAAGGGCCTGATCCCAATGGGATGGAGTTGCTCTGCAATACATCCCTGATGGCTTCAAGGCGGTCAATCATGTTCATCGAGTCGGATGGGAGCCAACGAGAATCCGATCTGACGGCCGTGTACCACCTAAAAAAAAGAATGTAGGCATCCATTCCTGCTTGTACATACCCAGGCCAGGTTGCACCGGGTAGCGCATCATCCCAAGCGGCTTTGACGCTCTCAGACATGGACATGACAAGAGGCTGATTGTTCGGGGGATGAGAGAACCGCTTGTTGAAAAAGCGGTAAAAGGGGTCAGAGTCGTCCGGCCGCATAAGGGGAAGCCTGGAGTGGTTTTGACAATAGTCCATAATCGCATTGGAGACTGCGTAGGTAGCCAGGTCTGCACGAGCTCGCGGGATATGAGGCGCTGAGCTGTACTGAGGTGGTGGGGTGACGGGGACAGATGCCTTCGTGGGAATGAACACAAGGTCCTCGTCGTCTTCGTGAACAGAAGGTGGGGGGGCTGCTTGAGCTAATACCCTTGAGTTTGCTACATTCTTCGCGGTGCGTGAGGGATTGTGACAAGGTGGCAGAGGGTCTTCCTGCGTGGTCTTTGACCTCTTGGGGCTCGAGGCAGTGCCTGAATTGTCATCGTCCAATTCGGGTGACGCGGAAGCTCTACGTTTGGAATTTTCACGAGGTGTGTGTTCCATGGGGCTCTCCAATTGGTGGTCTGGAGCTTTCCCTTTGGAGTTGAGGCCAGGTGTCCGTTTGGTCTTCGATCGCGCGTGGGTCGAGGTCGAGGGGCCAGACTGGGGTGAAGGTCCCTGGGTTGAGGCCGAGGGGCCAGACTGAGGTGAAGGTCCCCGTGCCTGAGTGGGAAGCTTGACCTGAACGAGTGACTTGGGATCATTCACATACGTTCCGTTTCGAATACCTAGAAGACAGAATATGGGAGTATTAATAAAGATGTCATGTGAATAAGAACTTTGAAAACTCACAAATCAAGTCTGCTTCGACCTGGTTACCCGCACTTTGGAAGGTCTCAAAGAGATCAGTGGGGTGTGCCTTGTTCTTGAGCTCCGCCATGATCCACTCCCGTTGTCGAAGAAGGTTTGCTTTGAAATCGGCGAGCTCGATTGTTGTTCGCTGCCCATTCAGCAATTCCGAGTGGCTGTTGTGAAGAAGAGGTGTTGGGGCTTGTAGGTCGCATAACGACGAGTTCCCTGGCGAATGGGAGGGTTGAAAAGAATAATAACAAATTAGGAAAGACGCCAAATTGTAAAAGACTGAACAAAAAAAATTGGAAAGTCTGCACTTACGTTGTGGGGTGCGGAGTGAGTTAACAGCGAACGATGCTGTGTTGTCAGGCTCCGATTCAGGGTCTGCAGCGCTGGATCGGGCAAAGTCGGAGTCACCCATGGTGTTTCAACCGTGAATTCGTTTTTGAAAGTATCAGTACTAATAATAATGTGATTCCAATAATAAAGAAAATAAGTGAAATAGAGAACAAGCAAAATAGAAATAAGTGAAATAGAACACAGGTACAATTGGACTCCTATATAATTTTCCAAGTCTTGATGGTTGAGTATTATAATTTTCCAAGTCTTGATAGTTGAGTATATTGAATTCAATTTATCGAGAACTGTATATATTGATCTAATGAACACATGTTCTTCAAATATGGATGATTTGTCAAGTAAGCTGGATTGAATTGAATGAGTATCTTTTCAATTATCGTCCTGGAATTTAATTTGAGGATTCTTTTTGAAACTTGACGTTTCTTTTTGAATGACTTCGGATGATATTTAAATTCAGTTAACCGATGATCCCGTGAATAAGTATACTCGATAAGAAAAGTGTGACTCTTGTAATAAAGGAATAAGTGAAATCGACATCAAGTGAAACAGAAAATAAATGAAATAGAGGGTATGTGAATTTCTCTTGAATTTTTGAAATGATTAATAACGAAATGTCCTTTCAATTTGATTCGTTGAAATGATTCTTGATGATGTAGTACATTGAATTCACTCAATTGTTGACGTGATAATTCGGAATTATACTGATGTTCTTGATGTATGATCCTTCGAGTAATTCTTCGTGTAAATTTTTGATATCGACGCCAGGAGATGATTTTTTTTTCTCTTTCAAGGTCTCAAATGATTATCAACAAATTATTTTTCTTTCACTTCAAGTTATTGGAAAGGAGTTTCAGTCAGTCAAACCTGTAATACAACGAGATAAAAACCAAATTTAAAAAACTGACAGAGGAGATCGGCGTCGAAGGAGATTGACATCGAAGTGGATCGGTATCGAAGTAGATCGGTATCGAAGGAGATCAACGTCGAAGGAGATCGACGTCAAAGGAGACCGATGTCGATCCTTTCAGGAGAATGCCGTGGATGAACGAAGGTGGGATCGGCGAAAGATGTGGTCGAGGGATGAATTGGAAATGTGAAACACGGTTCAGGTATCCAGGGATAGCCTGGAATGTATCCGGCTGACTCGGACTGAGCCTCGGGCCGGGACACGGGTCAAAGTCGCCTGTGTATTGACATACGGGTGGTATTGTGGGCTCGGGGTCCTGCAGCGGGGCTTCGAGGCCAACATCAGGCGTGATGTTGGCCTTGAAGGACCGCTGCATGACTCTGAGCGCCCGGCACTCTACACTTGGATGTCTGTAATATGACATTTACATGTTATGGCACCGTGCTCTCGGGGCCCTGCAGCGGGGCCTTCGAGGCCAACAACAGGCCTGATGTTGGCCCCGAAACCCTGCTGCACAACCCATGTGCACGGGGGTTCTCACAATGGTGTGTGTAATACAACACCGACATGTCATGGTACCGTGAGCATGGGGTCATGCAGCGGTGCTTCGAGGCCAACATCAGGCGTGATGTTG